TGGTATCTACACTCCATCTGAAAAAACGAATCTACGACTAGATATGATATCTTTTAGTATAATAAATATGAACATAGGTATATCTAAATTATAGTACTATAATATATCACTAGATTGATTTTTTATGGGAGATAAGAGAGTGTAAAATACTTTCGGTGTCCCTCACCGTGCCCCTCTCTCGGCCTGCAGGACCGTGGACGTACGGATACAGTCAACGCCATGGACCACCAGGTCATTGGCTCCGATCGTCCTACGTGGCAGGCTACAGCCACTGCCACCTCCTCAACTTCTCCTCTTCCTCCTCGTAACCTGCGCCCTCCCGCGATCTCTCTCTCTCTCCTCTTTTATTGGCCTTTTCGCGCGCTTTTTTTCTTCCCCCTCTCGAGATTTTTTTTTGCCGTCGCAGTCGTGGCCTCGTCCCGCACACGGATCACCCTTTTGCATGGCCGGATCACCCTTCTAACCGGATAATAGCATGCTCCCTGCTACTATCTCTATGACTCAAACTGTTTCTCTCTCTACGCCGTCGCGGTGGCCATTGACGGGCACGTACTACGTCCGTAACTCCGTCGTCCACCCGGCCACCAGCCCACCACCCACCGGGGGGGCTGAGGTGTGGGGCCCAATTTCACGTGGCTCCCGCGTGGTGCGTGATCGTATGCGTTGCATGCATGGAAGGAGCCAAAGAAACGGCGGTGGGGGTGGGCGTGATGGGGGGATGGCGTCTCGCGAGAGGGAGAAGACGAAGAATTTAGTTGACTTGGGGTTTGACCGTCTGGCTTAATTTGTCTCGTTTTTGGTCGATCGTGTAATATGCCTGCCTACTTGTGTCTGACTCTGTACTCGTAGACGTTTCGTGTTCTTGTTTCGCATGCAGCAGGTAGGTGGAGAAATGGCGACTAGACTTACCAGGCCGTAGCTCGCTAGGTAGGCTCAGCTGGGCATGATTACACCAGCATCGGGAAGGTCATGCATATGGATCTTGCATTTTGCTTGTGTGCAAAAATGGCGGCATGACACTTACCACTTGAATGATACACCAACTGAAACAAATTGCCAGTATGAGTACTGCTCCAGAGTAGGGATCTTAATAATAATTGTATAACAATAAATAATTAATGCAAACATAAATAGTACTCCAAATTGTCGTAAAGTAGGAGTAATATAATACTTGTGGCGTATTATCATGTAAACCTCCAAATTGTCGTGAATTCTCGACAGGAGTTGATGCGTAAATCAAATTCTCGACAGGAGTACTACTACTACTCTGAACTAAAAGAGCTTAACACGAGACAGTACTAGTACTACTAGGCGAAACCTTTCGAAATTTTGCTTGGATTCATTAAAGTAATTGCTTGCCGTACAAGGAGACAGAAGGTCTCCTCCGTCGAAAAAATAGTATCGGTAGTGTCTCGGTAGATTGATCGCACCACCAACAAAAACAAAAATTTATCAACGCTTCTCCTGTCTCGGTCGGCTGTACAAACTCCCCCCCTCCCGCGGCCCCACGCACAAACACACGCATACGGAGCAAGCAATTCCCTGTCAATCTCTAGTAGTAGTACTCCTGACCTCTTAACCCCAGGAAGAAAAAAACAGTCGAGTAGCGTTAATATCTTGGCAGTTTTGCAATCAACGAGCAGCCAACACAAGCCACCAAATGTTGGTGCATGCGATGCGATGGATCGCCAAAGCACCCCCACTGTTTCGGGTCGCAACGCAGGCGCCTCGGAACACGCAAACTAATGCGCTGCCTCGGTGAACCCGAAAGCGCCCGCAAATCGCAGGTTTGGGCACCCGGTCAGCCATCCGATCGTGCTAGTGCATCTCACTTCGGCACCGGGACGTGTGCCGGCGCAACTCACCTTGTCGTCGTCGTCGACCTCACCTTGGCGAAGCACAAAATCCTACCTGCTGGAAACGACCCTGACCCTGCATAAACTAACCTCACCTCCCAAATTACTAAAGCCACGAGTAGTTTGCAGTAGCAAAGCAAATCGAAGTGCCTGCACGCACGAGTGCAGTGCATCGGTTTTGTGTCATTAGCGCCAGTAAAAAAAACGATTAGTTTTAGGAAGGTCGCCTTCTGCACGATCGCGACTCGGCACTGCTGCAGCTGTGGCATCGATCACCGAGACGACACGCACACACACCTGTGTAAACAAGAATCGGCAAAGCCGTTTTGCACCCCTCCACTACTCCGGGGGACCACGCGCCAGTGGCTCAGGCTAATCTATCTATCATCTGCCGTACGATCCCACGCACGCACGCACGCAGCGCATGCATGCACACACACACACATTAGTACTACGACTAGTAAAATGGCTTCGCACGTATTCCTATCCTACGGTATGGTTTGCGAGAGAGAACACGCGCGGGTCAAAGCAAAGCACTAGGACCGACACGAGCCCACACGGGTGGTAGCCGGCCGGGTTGGGCTGTGGCTGGCTCGGTTTCCGTTTCGCCGCGGGAGATGGTGGCGTTGCTGCTGTGTGTTTGTGTCGTGGCGCATGCAAGCCGGCCATGAGTTGGCGTGCGAGCGCTAGCTAGCTGCCGCTGTGCGTTTGCTGCCGTGGCTGGGTGGCTGGCTACGACTACGGGCCTGGCCGTTAAAGCGGCTCGGCGCTGTGTCAGGGGAGGGTTGCTGGTCGCGATGCGAGGCCAGGGAGGGGATGATGGCCCCGCACCGCAGCCACCTGAGCTCGGCCGTGCACGAAAAGGGGAGAGTAACGACACATGAAATATAGCGCGAGTACGCACGGCCGCTACACGTGGTGCCTCTGGCGTTGTCCCAGGTAAACGGAGCGAGATACATTGGCCGGTTATTACACGACCAGTGCTCCATCCTCCCTGAGAAATTGAATTGATATCATTCATCACATCTAGGACTTGTTTAGTCTATCGTCAGAATTTGGCAATACTAAGGGCACCTTAAAAAATATGGGAATATAAAAAAACATAGGATTTTAATAGAAATGTAAATGTAAATTAGAGAATTGCAAAATATAGAAAAAACACAGCAATAACCGTTTGATTTGACCATAGAAAAAACGTAGGCATTAGAGGAGAGATAAGACTCAAAGGAAAGTTTCCATGAGGTTCTAACTCATATTAGAATTCCTCTAAAACTTACATGGTATCAGACATTCTATAAAAATTTGATAAAAATTTCATAGGATTCTATAAAATCCATTCCTTCCTTTGATTCAAATGGCTATACATGAAAAATTCCTATAGAAATAAAATGCTCTAAACTTCCTATGAATTTCCTTTGAATAAAAGGGGTCTATAAGTCCTTCCATTTCAGAATATAGCAACATATAATACGATGTGATTCAACATAGATTATACTAGTAGCTTGAAAATTTTGCGAGAAGAAAGAAATATTTGTGAGTTCGTCCTCAGGATACATGTTTAAAGTTTACAGGACCGTGCATTACAATGGCTTTTAATTCAGTTTGGTAAAAGGATTTAAGTTGATTGGGCTATTGTGCATTACAATGGCTTTTAATTCAATTTGGTAAAAACGATTTAAGCAGATTGGGCTATTTGGTTTTGCACCGATCTTTTCTTTTTCAAGTAAACAGTTTTTAGAGCAACCGATTATTATAAGATTTTTACGTGGACTACTCCCTCCTTTAGTAGTAGAGATAAGTGGACGAAAATCATCAGGATATATAGACACCAAAATTAAGACCTATTAAAAATATTCTCACGCCCATATAATATATTTCTAAATATAAAAAAAATAGAACTGGATGAAACATTTGATAGTCCTCCGAACATGGACATGCAACCACAGTCCTATAAACCTAGATATGCAACCGTAGTATTTAAAAACATCTCATCCGGTTTTGATGTTGTCCCGTATTCACAATTTCTCGCTGTCATGTTGTCACACAGATACTGAATTCATCTCTCCTTTAATTTTTCGTTGGCTCTTTTAAGCAATTTTTACTGGTTGTTTGAGAGGTAAATGATTTATTTCAAGGGTCTTTGGAATAGAGGAATTTTCATAATTTTCTCGTTGATCAGTTCAGTTCCTGTAGTATTCCCATAAAATTCCTCGGTTGTAAATGAAACCTAAAAACCTTCGATTTTACTTGAATACATCAAAGAGGGGACGTGCAAATTAGGTAAGAACTGCTTCATCAGAAAGAAGTATTTTTGAGACACAGAATAGGAAAATTACAGGAATTATAGTACCTATCATCCCAAAACGTATGCATGGATTGAATCAAATATAGTTTAGAAAGGGCGTAGGGAAAAAATCAGGAATCACAAATATTTTATTCAAGCAATTGCATGCATCTCATGTTAAAATTCATTCAAAAACCCTGTGAACGCCAAGCCAAAAGAAACTCATATGATTTCCCATCTCGATCCAAATGACCACGTAAGAAATTTTGCGTAGGACTAATTTCCACTAAAATTCCTAAAGACGACATTAAATTTCACGCAGAACAGTTGTAAAAAATACTACTCACACATCCAAAAATATAGTATTTTTAGCGTTTAAAACTTATCCATAAATATATCAATTTTTTTACCGACCTCATCATCCCATTTATCTATCATTTAATTTATCAATCAACACCATTTCAACCTGTTACTATATCTCATCTAATTCACGTCAAACTCCTATTTCAGGACGGAAGCTAAAATCCTCCAAAAAGATAATCAAGTACTCCATTCCAAAGTACTAATAATAATCCGTAATTTATCCCATAATATGCGTATTCTCCGTGCTACCTCATCCTTCAACCATAAAGAAATGCTTATATACTGGAGTACTCCGACGAGGACAGTTTGAGAAAAAGATTTGGGAGATCTCTTCAAATCTAGTATCAGTCATCACACAGACTCGAAATTTGGAGTGTTGTAAGTTGTAATTAATGTAACAAACGAACGCATGACCAAGAAGAATAGTTTTGCCCCCCCCCCCCCCGGCCCCCTAGCTAGCTCCCCCCCCCCCCCCCCGGCCCCCTAGCTAGCTCCAAGTTTCAAAGAAGGAAACTTAAAACCAAAAAGAACACGACTCCCATCTGCAGCTACCAACGAATACCACCACCACTACTACTGCTACTCCTCTCAAAATAACATCAAATCGCTTCTTTTCTCGAGTTCTTTCCTACTCCTATCTCTGCTTAAAGCCATAAATGAAATCACCTGTTCACTTCACTTCCCTTGCTTGCATGCAGCAGCCGTAGCCACCATCATTGCCACCACCTCTCGAAGCAAAGCCGCCAGACGCCAGCTAGTCAGTGTAGCCTAGGCGCTGTAGCTCCAGATCGAGCCCCGCGTCGTCGCCACGGTCACCACCGGTTTCGCCATGGACGTCATCCTCGTCGGCGTGGGCATTGGACGAGGAGGCGGAGGAGGCGCCGTCGCCGGAGGAAGACGGCGCTGTCATGAGCTCCTGCGCGAGTGGGTCGACGCTCGCGGCGCAGCTCTTGGGCGGCGACGACGCCCCGGACGCCGACGACGGTGCCGGCGAGCGGCCGACCAGCGGCACCGGCTCCGTGAGCAGCTTGCCGTCCCGCGGCGGCGAGAACACCACGGGCAGGTACTCGTCGCTGTCGCACGGGAACTTGGAGTTCTTGAAGTGCTCCTTGAGCGCGTCCAGGCCCTGCGCGCATGCACGGGTTTAGCACTTGCCACACATGATGATCGGTCTAGATTTATCAGCACAATTGGGAGAGATTTAACGGCGCTCGTACTTGCACGCGTGCGTATGTCACTTGGCAAATCTTGCGCGAGTTGAACACCTCCCACGGTTGCTTGTGGAACGCCTTGTACAGCCGCACGGCAGCCTCCGGCGAGGTGAGGTTGACGAAGCCATAGCCCACGTTGCACTTGTTGCTGCATGGCCTCATATTTTAGCAGGTTAGCACAGCCGAAAAGATAATTTAATGCCTGAATTTAAAAACTTCTCAACAAGTAGAGAAGCGATAAAGAACCGGGTGACCAAAAATGAGTTATGAATGATAACAAACGACTTGTCAAGGTCAAGAACACAAATATTCTTGGAATTGAGGCCTTCGAAGTCAGAAGCTCGGGGAACTATAAACTTGCACAACAATATTTCTATCATATTTTTGTTGTGGAGCTACCTTTTGATTCCACAATGCACGCTAGTCATTGGGGCATTTGATAGGTCTTTTCTCAACTTGGTTCGTGCAAAGATAAAAGTTGGTACTCCAGTGAAAAGAAAGTGCTTAATTATGCATTGGTCACCATACCTTTTTCTCAGGAAAAGAAATATATTACTACATGTCAAAATTGAAAACGCTTTTGCATTGATGCACCTTTTCACCGCTACTCCATGACGTCTAGCCCCTCCTTTTTGCGTTGGACTTTGCTATGGAAGTGCAGGTCAAGACAGCGCAAGCAAGCAAGAAAGAGAGCAAGGCAGGCAGGAGATCCTAGAGGCAGGTGCGCAAGAAAGGTAGACATGTGAACAGATGCTCATGATCAGAGGATTGCATGCAACAAAAGGATTTGATGCATCAAAACGAGAAGGATCTGGTGTGATCTCCCTTGGACTGCCAATTTCCTTTCCATTTGGGCTATTACAGCCATGGCACCAGAGTAGGCGTCCATATGTGTTGCAGACTAGCAGTACAGTGCAGTAACATGCTAGTACTACCCAGCCCAAAGATAACTCGATCCACAAGCTCACACATCACTACCAGCAGCTAGAGCTCCCAACTACCCATTCATCTCCCAGTACATTTCCAAGCCCCTTTCATATACCTTTGTCCTTCCTTCACACGGCAATGCAATTCCATTGCACAATTCCCCTCAAGAATCATAAAATTAATTAGTTTTCTAGGACTGAATTCTCAGTCGGAAATGAAGCATGGAGGCCGTCATTGTCATTGGGCGTGGACAGTGTGTGCCGCAGTGTTCTTGCATTGGGCACCATAAAATATAAATACAGCATATCGGGAGCTGACTCACTTGAAATCTATGGGGAGGTAGAGGAAATCGTAGGAGGAGAATGGCTGGGCTTCGTCTTCGCAGCTCGCCTCGATCTGCTGGTTGGAGAGGATGCAGTGGTTGTCCAGCATGTTGAGCAGCAGCTTCTGGCTGCGAACAAGCAACAGACGACAAGCTCAGGCATCAGTGCCAAGCTCGCAATGCGAGGCAGGCAATTCTGGGCTCGCGGCGCCCATGAAATATAGCATTTCGTCAACAACGTGGAAGCTAGCGGAGTGACCTGTACTTGTTTGGGATGTTCCTGATCATCACGGTGGTTCTCGTGTCCTTGCAGCTCGCCGGCTCATGCGTCTCGGAGGCGGCAGCGTCGCCGGCGGCGGCGGCCGCGGCCTCGGGTTCTTTGAACAGGAAGCGAGCCTCCCACCCGCTCTTCTGGCCTCTCCAGCTCCCGCCACGGCCGCCGCCGCCGCCGCCGCCTTTCTGGCTTTGCTTGCTGGGCGCCGTTGCGGTAGACGACGATGCTGAAGCCGCCGTCGAACACGCCGCCGCGGCGCTCTTGCCGCCCTTGCTCTTCCGCTCGTGGCCAGCATTGCCACCGCCCTTGGACTGGCTACCCGAGCTACCTTTCCCGGAGCTCCTGCGCAGAAGCACCACGCCTTCCCTCGCCTTGCCGGAGCCAGACGACGACGGCTGCGCAGACTGCGACGGCGCCGGCGCCGGCCGCCAAGCCGCCTGCAGCCTCGGCGGCGTCGGGGCCAAGGGCTGGTGCGACACGTGCCCGCGCCTGCCAACCACAGCCAAATTAGTTTTACCGTGCGTTTTCGATGGGAATTAACACGACGGTGAATTCTTTTACCTGCGTGGGCCGGGGAGGGAAGGGCGCGTGTACTCGACGACGAGGCGGCGGCCGAAGAGCTCCTTGCCGTTGAGCTCGTGGAGCGCGCGGTCGGCGTCGCGCGTGTCGAAGAACTCGACGAACTTGTTGCTCGGCCGCAGCGCCGACTCCCTCACGTCCTTCACGTCACCTGCAAACACACGACGAGGCGACCCGACCAAGAGAATGAATTGGTTGGAAACACAAGAAGCGAAACATGGAGGAATTCGCGGAAGAAAGCGTGCGGTGGTGGTGTATGTACCGTATGCTTGGAAGATTTCGCGGAGTTCGAACACGGACATGGCGGGGAGGGAATTGAGCACGACGAGGGAGCCGCGGCTGGCGCCGTCGTCGGGGACGGTGGAGGCGGCGGCGAAGTGGGCCCAGACGGCCTGGCCGAGGACGAGCCCGCGGTTGTCGTCGTGGGGCCAGTCCCACGCCGGCGGGGGCCAGGTCGGGGACGAGGCGGCGGCGGCGGCGGCGGCGGCGTAGAGCTGGCCGAGCCGGCACTGCTGCCGGATGTGCTGCTCGCGGACCCCCGTGACGGCGTGCTCGGCGGAGCGGAGATCGAAGAAGTAGACGGTCGCGACGCCCTCGGACGCCACCGCCGACGCGTCCACGGCGCGCACCGCACCGAACGGAGCCATCGCGCGGGCGATCTCGTCCTCCGGCGCGTGCGGCGGCACCAGGCTCAGCACGACGGCGCGGCTGGCCGGACCGTCCACCACCGTCGCGGCCGCCGGCACGCAGTAGCCCGGCTGCGGCGCCATCGTCGCCGGCAGCGGCGGTACAGGCAAGCCCACCGGCGGCGGCGGCGGCGGCACCGGCATGACCTGGTACGGCGGCGGCGGCGGCTGCGGGCAGTACAGCTGGTGCGGAAGCTGCTGGAACGGGAACGGCGCGCCGACGGCAGGGTAGAACGCCTGAGCTCCGGCGTCCAGAAGATTCGACGCCGCTCCCTGCATCCCACCCACGCCACTCCCACCTCCTTCCTCCATTGCAGCAGCACTTACCTACCCTACCAAGAACACCCCCACCCGCCCACCACGCACGGAAGATCTAGAACTTTCTAGAGATCCGCGATCATGGCCCCGATCAAGAACATAGCTAGAATTGTACTTCCATCAAAACCCCACCTCTCTCTCTCTCCCTCTCCTCTGCTTAGCTAGTTGTACGCGGCGTGTGGGGGAGGAGTGGGGGGAGTGTACTTGTTGCTGCTGGTAGCTAGCGACGGGGAGATAGAGAGAGAGGCGGTGGGAGCAAGCTCTTTTTATGGTAATGGTCGCGGGAAAGGAAAGCAGGTGGGCTTTTATTCGGAACGCTACAGGAACAAAGGGGAGGGAAGCACGGTGGCGTGGTGGCGGAGAGGAGAGGGAGAGGGGGAGACGAGAGGAGAAGACTCGAGGAGGGAGGTGAAAGTGGTGAAGGGCAGGGCAGTATAGTACACTGGCTACAGTGCCACGAGGGGGGGGGGTGGGGGTGGGCTGGGGACTGGGGAGTGGTGTGGTGTGTTCTTCTGCCGGCCGGCCGGCCCTGTTTTTTGCTCGGATCCTCTATAGCGATAGAACTGTTTGATCTGGGTAGCTTTCAGTCTCATCTTTCGGCTTTTGCTATGTTTATTAGCCAAAATTTTAATTTTAATTTTTTAATTTGAAGTTGACTTTAGATTTTTTTAATTTATTTTTCAATATTTTTTAATCATTTTATAAAAGTTTTATAAAATGTGAAATTCTCCTAGCTTCGTGTTCCGTTGTGAAAATTCTCGAGATTTATGTAGAACAAACTAGCAAATGTTTTTCTTATGTAATTTTCCGAAGTGAATTTGATGCACGATTCTTAGCTCTTGTACCTTTTGGTAATCTATATACAGAATTACCTCCATTCTAAATAGAAAGTTTTAAGTTTGGATATAAGGGATTAAAAAAGTAGATAAAATTAAATGAGAAAAGAAATGTTTGGTTAAGAAGGACTAGGTGGAGAATTTGAATGTCGAAGGTTGTGATTGGTATAGAAGTTGTTATATTTTATGATAATTTTTAAATGCTATAGATAGCTATATTTTACGATAGAGAAAGTGTATATTAGAAAATACATTTTCTTAATGTAATTCGTAGCTTTTTCCAAAGATACATTTGCATACAGTAGATTTAAGTAGGATTCTATTTGAAATACATCTTATAGCTTCAATCTCCACATATGCTATTTGTGTTTCGAATATAATTATATCAACCATTATAATTTCAATCCACCACCATCTAACATATATAATTTTTATCCAATTAACATGGTAATATGTTAGAATTACAAACTGGAGTATATTTTTTAAGACACTCCCTCCATTGCATAATATAAAGCACAACCAATTTTCTTAGATGTTCCATAATATAAGGCATGCATGCAAGTATACAATTAACTATGGCATCTTCTCCATTAAATTATTATTATTTTTAAATCCTTCACTCTCATGTTATCTAATCATATTGGATATATGCATTATATTTATTAGGATCATTCAAACTATAATATGATAATAATTATTTTTTGTTTTTTGGGTTAAGAGTAGTTGTGCTATTTTGGAATGGAGGGAGTAAGGCCATTCCCAACCCAATGACTAGGATAGTGTCCATAGCATTAAATAAGTTGTCACCTAGGATGAAAAATGATGTGGCAAGTAAATAAATGAGGAAAGAGAAGGAAATCATGTCTTGCATGAGATATAGTTTCTACACAACATCCAAGACATCATGTGATATAAATAGCATTAAATTTAAGTATGGAATAGTGGTGTTTGCATTGGAAGAGTAATGTCTAGTACTAGTTTCTTGATGATGTGGAGTTTATGGAAACTATGTCTAGTGTTTTGGGTTGGGAATGGTCTAATACAATATAATTATCCTGACCTCTACAACATGGGATTTATTTTAGCGAACTCTTAATTACGTAATTATAGTTTTCAACTACCGTACCATCTATTATATTATTAAAGGAATAGAAAAAGGAGCCTCCACGTTCGCTCTCATGGACTAGAAATTCTCACATTAATCGGAGAAAAAGAAAAAGTAGAGTCCATATAGAAATACAATTTAGAAATAGCTAAAATTCGGAATTAAAAATAAGGAATATTAGAAGTAGAGTATAGAATTCATATAGAAATACAATTATTATTAAAGGAATAGAAAAAGGAGCCTCCACGTTCGCTCTCATGGACTAGAAATTCTCATATTAATCGGAGAAAAAGAAAAAGCAGAGTCCATATAGAAATACAATTTAGAAATAGCTAAAATTCGGAATTAAAAATAAGGAATATTAGAAGTAGAGTATAGAATTCATATAGAAATACAATTAGGAAATAACTGAAATTCGGAATTAAAAATAAGTAATATTAGAAGTAGAGTATAGAGTACATATAGAAATACAATTAGAAAATAATATAAATTTGGGATTAAAAATAAGGAATATTAGAAGTAGAGTATATAGTCCATATAGAAATACAATTAGGAAATAACTAAAATTCAGAATTAAAAAATAAAGAATATTAGAAGAGGAGACTAGAGTCTATATAGAAATACAATTAGGAAATAACTGAAATTCAGAATTAAAAAAATAAGGAATATTAGAAGAGGAGACTAGAGTCCATATAGAAATACAATTAGGAAATAACTGAAATTCAGAATTAAAAAATAAGGAATATTAGAAGAGGAGACTAGAGTCCATATAGAAATACAATTAGGAAATAACTGAAATTCAGAATTAAAAATAAGGAATATTAGAAGTAGAGTATATAGTCCATATAGAAATACAATTAGGAAATAATATAAATTTAGAATTAAAAATAAGGAATATTAGAAGTAGAGTATAGAGTACATATAGAAATACAATTAAGAAAAAAAATAGAAATTCGGAATTAAGAAAAATAAGAAATATTAGAAGTAGAGTATATAGTTCTATTATATTATTAAAGGAATAGAAAAAGGAGCCTCCACGTTCGCTCTCATGGACTAGAAATTCTCACATTAATCGGAGAAAAAGAAAAAGTAGAGTCCATATAGAAATACAATTTAGAAATAGCTAAAATTCGGAATTAAAAATAAGGAATATTAGAAGTAGAGTATAGAATTCATATAGAAATACAATTATTATTAAAGGAATAGAAAAAGGAGCCTCCACGTTCGCTCTCATGGACTAGAAATTCTCATATTAATCGGAGAAAAAGAAAAAGCAGAGTCCATATAGAAATACAATTTAGAAATAGCTAAAATTCGGAATTAAAAATAAGGAATATTAGAAGTAGAGTATAGAATTCATATAGAAATACAATTAGGAAATAACTGAAATTCGGAATTAAAAATAAGTAATATTAGAAGTAGAGTATAGAGTACATATAGAAATACAATTAGAAAATAATATAAATTTGGGATTAAAAATAAGGAATATTAGAAGTAGAGTATATAGTCCATATAGAAATACAATTTAGAAATAGCTGAAATTCGGAATTAAAAAAAGAGGAATATTAGAAGAGGAGACTAGAGTCCATATAGAAATACAATTAGGAAATAACTAAAATTCGGAATTAAAAAATAAAGAATATTAGAAGAGGAGACTAGAGTCTATATAGAAATACAATTAGGAAATAACTGAAATTCAGAATTAAAAAAATAAGGAATATTAGAAGAGGAGACTAGAGTCCATATAGAAATACAATTAGGAAATAACTGAAATTCAGAATTAAAAAATAAGGAATATTAGAAGAGGAGACTAGAGTCCATATAGAAATACAATTAGGAAATAACTGAAATTCAGAATTAAAAATAAGGAATATTAGAAGTAGAGTATATAGTCCATATAGAAATACAATTAGGAAATAATATAAATTTAGAATTAAAAATAAGGAATATTAGAAGTAGAGTATAGAGTACATATAGAAATACAATTAAGAAAAAAAATAGAAATTCGGAATTAAGAAAAATAAGAAATATTAGAAGTAGAGTATATAGTTCATATAGGAATTTAAAACTAACTGGAATTTAGAATAAACATAATAAAATTAAAAGTAGAGTTTAGAGTCCGTATAAAAATACAATTTACAAATAACTAAAATTCGAAATTAAGAAAAACATGGGAAGAAGAGTTTAAGGTCAATATAGAAATACAAATATAGGAATACAATTTAGAAGTAACTGAAATTTGAAATTAAAAATTAAAGAGTATTGAAAGATGAGTTTAGAGTCCACATAGAAGTACAACTAGAAATAATAAAAATTCAGAAATAAAAATAAATAATATTGGAAGAAGTGCATAGTCTATATAGAAATACAATTTACAGAAAATTCAGAATTAAAAAAAAATATTAAAAGAAGAGTCTAGAGTCTATATAGGAATATATATAATTTACAAATAACTAAAATTTGATATTAAAAAAACTAATAACTAACATGTATATAAAATATAATATGAATATTACACATTAGTAGTTTTGTAAAGTTATTGCAAAATTTAAAATTATGTTGTCATTTTAATATATTTAAATAATATAATGAGAAAACATATATACTATTATATGAAAGAAAATATAATGATGCTAGCCGCGCAATCTGCGCGGGTCACCATGCTAGTTACATTGTAAATAAGGAATGAAAGAAACTTTCTAAAATAAATGGTCCTCTAAAACTAACTTGGTACTTATTTTCTTCACCTGTCTTTATAATATAAAGAGTATACTCCATCCGTTAGAAAAAACTTGTGCATTTTTTAAGTAGGAATATAATTGAGTTGAATGAAAACTAAATATAACTTTTTTTACAATATTGCTCCTAATTTATTAATGGGCCAAAAGCTGAAACGTTGCTGAGACAATATTAATTAATGTTGTACCCCCATAACAAAGTGCCAATGTTTTGTGCTGTGTGTATATATGTTGACGAAGTTGGGCCGCAAACGAGGTAAAATTACAACCCCGTCAATATATGTGTGTATATGTTGACGGGTTGTAATTTTGACT